TATATGTGTACATATATAATTTCCAAAAAAAAAAAAAAAAGATACATCCTGTGAATTAATAACAATTCTTTGCCTGAAATTTTTAAATACAAGACATCATGTAGCATGTATTATAGAACCCAGGATAATTGGAATTTACATGTATTTAGAACTGTGTCAATGTGAATATAATAACTTGATTTTCTATATGGCGATGTGGACGGTTCGTGATCAGTTCGGTGAATATCAGTGTATTTATTTCGCGATAATACCTATCACTGATTGACAATGAGCCATTATTCTGGTTGGAGGTGTCAACTATGGCTATTTCTTTGAAGTGTGTGAATAACGTTGGACGATTGATCTATAGAATATTACTTATCTTTCATGCAAGTACCATTTACCTAAAATCTATTCAAAATATCTTTATTCCAATTATACTTCGCGAATAATTTTTTAATTGTAAATAAAGGAAAAATATCATAAAAACAGTTGGTATTGCATCACAACGTTCTACTAAGCTTAAGAAGTTTAACTAACAGTGTGTTTATCACAATAATAAGAACAGATTTTTAAATAGTGTTTAACCACAATCTAGAGCCCAAATACCAATTATTCTAAAATTTATCAAACTGCAGATGAAGAAAGATTCCACTAGTCCATTTATTGATGAACTCTAAGGTTTATTCACATTTCGTGTCGAGAAACGACCGACAGAAGGCGATTATTAAGAAACAAGTATTTATTTATTGCCCGATCGACTGGTACGTACATGTAAGACCCATATCAGAGCATTTATCCTTGATTAATAATCCAGTGTGGTCAAATAAAGAGAAAAAATCTAGACCAGGGCATTGTTAGCACGAGGATTTATGTGTTTTAAGCATCAAATAAGTTGAAGTTTATCTTTTAATATTTTGTGCATATATTGGCATGCCCTAAGGTGAACCTGTTTGTCTAACTCTTTTCTTGTTTTAAATCAATCCAGTAATAAAATATTCTGTGTATTTTTGACATAAAGCAATGACTGTACATTTAGTTCATCTCCCTCCGAAATATAAATATTACAGGCCATGTCGTCATTGTCTACAGCATTCTTTTGATTTACAAACTTCCAGAGAAGCAATTTGACCACAAAAAAGGATTTTTCTGTGGCGCTGGTAGGGACGAAGCCTAAGATCTAAAACACGAACTATTCTGGGATTTTCAAAGAAAGACATGTTGAACATAAACATTCATGCATATAAATAATGAAAAAATGCACAACCTATGATTAGACATATTTACATTATTTACATATATTAGCATCATGTGGAAGAATTTTTTTTGTGGTCCATTCGTGGGTTCCGTGGCGGGACGTACATGTGCTAGTCGTCATTTTAGGAAATGTTAATTATGAGGGGAGTGTTCTCTAATTTTTGTGGTTTTATGGTGAATCAATGAATATTGATAAGGGTAATTATGGCTATAATTGCTTGTAGAATTGCGCTTTCTGCCAAAGCAAAATAAATACTACATGTATACGTCGTTTATACACCTAAAAAGTTTGCATCTTCTACAGTCAAGCATGCTTTTTTACGCCATGGTTAGAGAGAGTTCGTATAAAGGACAATCATCTTATATACGTATCTCTGTTAGAGACATTATATAAGTGCTTTCACATTCTAAATTTGGACGAAACTCAGTGACAAGAAGATTTAAATAAGAAGAGTTTTAAGATTTTCAGTATCTTGTATTCCAGGCATTGAGGAGTACATCAATATTTTTAAAAAAGCGAACGACATGTATTTGTAAACATTCAAGATATTGCAAGGCAGCAGACGCCCAAAGACAATAAAAGGAGCCAATAATAGTTTAATCATTTTCCCTACAATTTGTATGCATATACATGCAGATAAAGAACAAAAAATCCCTTTTAACTAAGATTTATAAAACTACTAGTTTCTCACACGAACACAACCTTTAACAAATGTTCCAGGTCCAAGAGCACTGAAACAGAACGCAAAGTTAACAAGTTTTGAAAATAGAAAATAAATCAAAATATAGATTAACTTTTATTGATTAATTGGAAATCATTATCTCCAGTCTTTGGCGTACGTAATTAAAAAATTAAATATTTGCATCTACACGCGCTGTAATTGTCTACCCTTTACAACTTTAATTCCACTTCATCATGTATGCCTGAATTTCCATTCGAATACTCACGAAGTTGTCGCGAGTTTGAATAAGAGACATGGATTGCCGAGAGATTATTCCTTAAATACCACAACTCCTTTAAATCTATAAAGTGGTGTGATATATTCAATTTTGCCCAACAAGTAGAGGATTAAACAAACTGCATGTTTTATCTATCAATTCACTTTATTACGTAAGACTCAATCTTATTGCATACAACAATATAAGTATACATATAAACATTAAAACATAGCGCAGGAGTTTTTCGTAAAATCAGCTTAATAGTTTCAATAAACATATCATAGTAGAAAATGCACAAAACATTTTTTTTTTTTAAATTATTTGTCTACCTTGGTCAGACCAATGTATCCTAATCCAGTTTCAAATACTCAGTAATTTATTTTTAATTTTGTAACATTTTTCATTGGTTGATCTCATTCTCTTTATTTTCTCATTACATGATCTCAAATACAGAATACAAATACAAATAAAAAAAAAAGGATAGGGGACAGAACTTCGCCTTGTATGAGACCAAGAGAATTAACAGAAACCTCTGTTAACATTCTGGTATATAGCACGCATAACATCCACTAATTTCGACTTAATACCAAATACTTCAGTATGAAAAAGTTTTTTCCAAAGCTTAAAACTTTCTACTGTGTCAAATGCTTTTCTTAATTCCATGAAGTAACAATATATTCTGTTTTCTTACATAGGGACATACTTATAAACGTCGACAAACAGAAAATTGCTTCGGCATTGTCCACCTTTCGTTGAAACCCAAACTGAGCATCTGTAAGGAGGTTACTTACATTGACCCATTCTATGAGCTAGTGTATTTATATTCAGAATTGTAAAAAGTTTGCAAAACAACTTTTTAGTGCTATTAGACGGATGTGTCTTTTTATTTGGATACAACCTATCACCTTTCTTCAGTACACGGGAACAATTACTGATTTGGTCCATATATGAGAAAAACACCTAATGTCATTGTATTAATCAGATTATATAGGATAAGGAGAAGACAATGTTCAAATTAAATGAAGTGTTCATTAATCAACAAGTCTGTTCCATGAAATTTGCCTTTTTTTAAGCTTTGATATGGCGTCCTAAATTTCCTTTTTACATATTTCGCAGTCAAGTTCCTCGAACACAGTCAAATCGTCACCGTTCAAATTCTCATTCGTCGTTGCGTTTGGGTTTTGATGGAAGGTCTTTAAAGTGATCAAAACTACTTTTGGTTCGACATTCAGTTGATGGGTTTTCTTGTATGTAAATGTTTATAGAAAAAAATCGTGATTTCCTCTACGAATGTGGTCAAGTATATTTTCCTCCGCAAGTAAATATTTCGTTTCAGCTTTACAGCGAGCGATTTGTATTCTTTCCTTGACTGCAACGGTTTACTGTGTGTAGCTACACCAACACTGCAACCTACCAGAGAAGCAGAATTAGTTTTTAGACTACATTACATTACATTTCTTCTTGCTTCTGTCTAAAATGTGAAAACGCACATGAATGTGGTCTATTACGTGAGCAAAGTCATGAACAACTCTTCAAGTTTTTATTTATACAGTCATTTAATGTAAAATGAGATTCACGTCACTTATTTTTTGCTTGACGAAAAATTCAAATGACAACCTAATGCGTAAAATAGCTTAGAAAGCTATTAGTCCTTATGTTTTGTTTCTCCTTCGCTGACTTGGTCGCGTTTGAACATCCCGATGCATGACTCTTTTGGTCGTGCACAATTTCATTTCTGGTAAGCTCGTGTCGACCTCAGATGTTATGTACTGCCCCCACACTGACCTTGTTTAATGTCATTATAAACTACAAATTAACTCAAGCAGAAAAAGGTCACGCTCGTGCAGTTCGGTCATTATTAATTTATAATATTAATTTGTTATACTCATTAACTCATGTCACCTGCTATTCATGAAAGAGTTTAAACGTTTGTTTTCATTTCGAATTTCCAGGGCCACAAAGGTAAAATGTGTAATCTTCTAAAAAGAAAAAAATCTCTCTATTTTATGATTTTTTTTTTTAGTTTGGAAATATAATTGAGGGCTATAACTAAGGACTACCTAAAGTTATCTGAATAAAAAAAAAAAAAATTGTAAATGGATTAAAAAATAAAATTTTTGTCAAAAAATACTAATTGAAAATGCATTAGAAAATTTGAAAAAATATAATTATATAACAAAAACAGCTTTTTTCCTTCTTGAGATGCAATAGCTGACAAACAGAAGGCTTGCTGGCTTAATAGTTCCCTTTCTTCTATAATTTATAGTATAAATTCCGTTTTGCTAACCTTTCTTTTAATGGCATATGCTCGAAATTAAAAATGCTCAATAAATAGATGAATAAACAAATAGATAAATAAATAAATAATAAATAAATAAATAAATAAATAAATGAGGAACTAATTAGTAATTCTTCCTTTTATAAATGACGATGGTTAACAATTGGAATCTATATCTTGTTTTATGAGATGTGCACGAACAATAGTCAGATGGATATTTATAACTCATTGTTTATAGAGGAAAACACGTGCTTCCTGTTTTGGGACCGAGGCATAACATATAAGTTTGATTTTACTCTCTAGGTTATTGTCAATAAAAATCAGTCAGAATATTTCAGATTTGTACATGTATATTAAACATTGTCTTAATATATTACTCCAAAATGAATACATGCTGTATGGCATACGGACTCACAGACAGACAGACATGCGAAGATCAAATTAGACAGCATTACAAGCATAACAAAAGTCAAGGAAAATATAGAGACATGTTTCTAAACAGGGGATAAAACAACTAAAACTTAATCTATTTTCTATTTAGATTACAATGATATTCCAGTGGCATACCATATTCATCTTACTTTCTGCTGTTAGTATTAACTGTACTCCCAATAACACATCAAAACAGAAATCCGAGGCCACTCGAGCTATCCAAGGTAAGAATTCTTTTTATTTAAAAAAAATCTGTTTTATTCTTGTTCACATCTTTAAAAAAAAGTAACAGAACATGTTTTAAATGTTTAAATGCGCATCTTAAACATTGGCAGTTTATTTTATATAAATGGTTCTTATGCATTGCAATTAGACAGACAAATAATTTTACCGATAGTTTGGGTTTTCAGCAGCTAGGTGGTGATATGGTTATTATAGCGAAACACAAAATAAACAGTGACGTAGAATTTCTTTCTTGTCTAAGCCTGCTGAATAAAAATGAAATATTCTAGGTTAGATGGTTGACAAAGATTGTTTTATTTATTTTAGATGCCAAAGCCAAAATATCCAAAAGCAGTGCCAAGTTTGGGCAAACGTCATTCAAGTCCTATTTACCACCAGCCCAGCCTGTATCTATGAAGAAAATCGGCTCTCAACTGAAAAGTTCTAAACCAAAAACATTTGCTTTCTCCAGCAACAGTTTCAGTTTCAGAGCACCAGTCTTTTCGCAAACAAATCTCCAACTTGGAACAAAGGAAGGGCAAAAGTTACCATCAAAAGAAGTGTTTGCTAAACAAGACATTCAGCATTACAAACCTCACACAAACAAAATACTAAAGAAGGTTCTAGTGGGAAATAAAAAACAGGGTCCAAGGAAAACTATAATAAAGAAGATTATAATTAGAAGAAAGATAAAAGTAAATAAAGACGGTATGAATTTTAATAACAATAAAAACAACAAAGATGTAAAAAGGGCAGGTAATGGGTGGCGTATAAGTCATTCCCCCTCTAAGGAGTGGGATAAACCAAGCACAGGAGAAAACAGTAAACTCAACGGGAAAATTAGAACGCAAATCAGTATGGATTTTTCGTTACAAAATACACATAGAAAAATAAATGATGCTGAACAGGTTAAACCTAGTTCGGAGACTCAAAAAGAACACACCACAAAGCCAGCTAAACTCGGTATAATCACGAGTACACAAACAATATCAACTGGTAAGGAAGTTACACCAGAAAAACGTGATAGCATGGTTGACAAAACTTGGGTGAAAAATATAACAAGAAGCGATGCTGTACAAAGACCAATAATGAAAGAACCGACTCCGAAAAAGAAACAACCTGCAAAGATAGGCTTTGAACCTGCACCGCAAATGATGACTGTATCGTCCAGCTATAGGATTCCTTTTCACAAATTTCAAGCTGCACCCCCTTTAAAGAAAAAAGAACAGAATCTCTCAACTCAGCGAGAAGTAACAAGAAACTTGGTTATCAACACCGGAAATGACGTAGGTCTAACGAGCGATATGAAATCGGAAGCAAAAATGAATATAAGAGCTAATACGATTATTTCTGTGACGAAGAATTCAGATCTTACAAAACTAGACGAAAAGAAAACTATTGTCGAACCACCCATTGTTTCTGAACGAATAACAACAGACTTTCAAATTCCTCTGCCACCTGGTGAAATATTTGAGAACGGAAGTCTATTTATGAACCTGCCAAGAAAGGAATTTCAACATCCAGCACAAAAAGTAGTCAATTCTAAAACAAATGATAGAGATGTTGTATTGGGAACGCCGCCATCGAAACATAAAAGCTTATTTGATAAATTTCAGTCTGTGCAAAGAAACAGAGAAATGGCAAAAAGCGATATTATTCCACCAGATTTGCAGCACGTTATCACTGTTAAACAGCAACATTCAAAGGATATGGTAAAGAAGCCTTTGGAGACAGTCCCTCTGGCTAATGATATTGGCCTCTCTTCTGGATCGATTCAAAAGATGCGTGAACCAAGCCAGGCAACTGGAGTTAGTGTAGGTGTTTCTCTTTCTGAAACTTTTAATCAACATCCGCCTTCTCCAGGACATTTAAGACCTGGATTTATACCTCCACCTCCACCAAATGGATTCAGAAGACAACATATTCCAAAACCACCTGGTCCATGGATTGTACCTACACCACCCCTTATAACACCACCAAACAGAATTCATTCCCAAACAAGCCCTTTAAGAAGCAATCAAAATACACTTAACCATGGAGCGCAGATGAATTACATCCAAACAAAAGTTCCACTGAGTGGAGTTATACCTCAACCACCTATTGTTGCAAGAAAGCATAGCAGGTTTTCTCGCCCGAAGAATATAGCACCTTATCCACAGCATCCAGCAGACTATTTAACTAAGGCACCTAACAAGCAAAATCAAGTCCCTTTGAGTGCGCCGGGTCAAGGTCAGTTTGACTCGATGCATATTAATCACCCTCGTAATCGTCATCATGGAGGACCACATCTTAACAGAGATTTTATGCGGAAACCACCGAAACCACCAACACAGAACTTTGTGGATCCCACAGTTAGTCCAGTGGTGAATAAACCAGAACCCAGACCAAGAAGACGGAATCTTCCTAGGCCTGTGCAGTTCGATCCACTGAAACATATCATGAAAAGGAAACAGGAATTAACGAAAAAAGCTAAGAAACCAACCAATATCCGGACACCACCAGAGCCACCTGGTGAGAAAAAAGCTAGCCCAGACCCCGATAGGAAAAAAATGAATCAGAAAATATTCAAAAATTCTTTCCAAAAAGACTATGTGAACGAACGTAGAAGTAGACAACCTATGAAAGAATTTGTATCTGAATTTGAAAGGTTTATGAAACATATGGACTCATTCATGGACCTAGCTGGTATGCTGGAGTTCTAAAAATAGATAAATTTGGAAATGGTTGAAATGAAGCATGTATCATGTTAAAATGTTCACTGTGATCATGAAAGCACATGGTTACACAAATAAGCTTAGAGTATAACATTGATTTTAAAGAAGGCAATACCTAAGGTATTGTTTTTATACATATTTTTACAGGTATTTCCTCTCAGGTATTTCATACAATTAAGGAGGGATTCTTGTCGGGTTTCTGTCTAGATGAAATATTCAAAGTATATATGCTTATATGTGTTATATATTTAGATGTAAGAGATTTAAAAGATCATATTTTTCTTTCCTCATCATAATTGTACAACTTTAAATAGAAATGGTAAACTGAGTTTAAAATCTAGCAGGAACTATATTTTTGGCGGAACGGCGGCGTATGAAAATATCTCCTTTTCTGCTTCTCAAAATTACTATAGAACAATGAATTTAGTTTAAAAAAATTTAACAATCAAAGACTAAAAAAAATTTCAAATGTAAGCAAAATTAATAATAATTGATTGAAGTTTTAAAATATATCAAATAAATATGATTTTCCAAACAAACTACAATTATGTTAAAATTAAAAGCTTCCGATCCAAGTACAGATTTGAGCCAAAAATCCGTAAAAAGTGTTTTTTTTCTCTCTTAATAAACGGTCAAAGCTTTTTGTTTTAGTACCAATTTGTATCTTTATACGACTACTTTACCATTTGTGAAAATAAGAAAAATTCAAATATACGAAGCATATAAGAATAACTAATATATCCTAAAAATCTAAGAAAAATAGAGGAAATTCGGATTAGCCAATATCTATTTTAGTTAAATTATCTATGTCAATTTGGTAGTATCATCTGATAGACCCTATATGGTAATATCTTTTAAGATACAGGTACAGATTCAATCTTTTGAAATAAAAGTAGGCATTCCATGATTGGCAACGGTATTATTTTGTTCTTAAGGTCAAGGAAAAAAATAATGACCTTGCCCTGACCTTGCTAAAATAAAACAGTCAAATTTAATCAAATTGATACCATCACTTAATAATAATGTCTTCTTGAATCTATGAAAATTTCATTAATTTTTAAATACAACAAATATGAGAAGAATCCCTCCTTAATTAGGTACAACTCTTCTGTGGCAAATTTTAATTTTTAGCATATTTACATGTATACTCAGAGGGACACTGTTAATACAATATTTAAAAAAAAAACAACTAGCACACGCTTATTTGAGATCTTTGGAATAAAACCCAAAAATCTATCACATGAAAAATTAAATCAAATCCGTAACTTGCATATTTTTGAAGATTCGGTGTAAATATATGAAATTATTCAATTTTTAAAATATACATACAAAGGAAGTTATTTTGACACAAGATTCATTTTTAAACAAAATTGTTGGTTAGCAACGATTTCATAAATGTTGATAATTTAAAGACACCGAAATTTCACTTGTGATATGATTTTAAAGAAAAACTAAATCTTGCTTGATACACTTTTGTGTCGTATGATTCCTGTTTTTAATCCTATGCATACCTATATGCATTGTAAATACTAGTAGTTTGGGGCTTTTATACTTAAGCAATGCTTTTATTGCATATAAAACAAGATCTGTAGAGGTTTCCAAATTGCATTATATAATAATTAATGAGGCTCTAGGTTTTAATAACTTTGGTTAGGAAGAAGATAGACAAAAGATGTAAAGTATTTTTCTTTTTCGAAATAAAGGTAAAGCTACAGATTATATTACTTTAATGATCACGAAGAGAAGAGTTAAATCAAGTGATTTTTCTTCCCTTTTTTTGTTTAACCAAATCTTAAATGTATAGCAGAAATATTCAAGGAAAACTCTTTATAAAAAGGTGCAGATGTCATTTTGTAAGCATATATTTATTCATTGCAGTAACAGTGCTACTAGTATTTAATGTTACAATGGATATATGTTTTACTTGTTAAAAGGACTTAAGACCAGTTTCTTTGTGTATTTGTGAAAAGTTTGAGATACAATTGTGCACCTATATATTTTGTTGCATTATGCTCATGGATGATGTTTGTGAAATAACCTGTGAAGCACATAGTGCCTTTCAGCTTAACCAACAGCATTGTATTCTCAACAAACCTGCTGAGTTGCAATGTTTGCCAATAAACTTTGGATCTTTGTATATATTTATAGATTTAGGAAAAAAAAAAGGCAAAAATTAATTATGCAACTTGCAGGATTTCATTATGCATGATTTCATTTTTCTATCATTGGTACTATGTAAAAATCATTGATTCGTATGTACGTAAAAGGGTTATTTGTATCTATTGGAGTTTACATTACTACCAAATGTTAATGTTCATGCATCTATACATGCAATTAACTCTGAGAGCAATTTATTTCATAGTGACTGCTGCATATGATGTTTTCATTTTGGTATACTTAACCATTTTGACTTCGGTTTTATAATTAGTGCACGAAGTTAATTTCTTGTCTCGTAATCTGTTTTATACATGAACATTTTCAATTACTTTTAATATTTTTTTTTGTTATAGCTATGCATGTTCTAGTATCTATAATGCCACTGTATACGTAATTTTACCAGGGAAGATGCATGGATATATGTATATATACGGTGGTGTATAAGTGCCACGTTTAATATAAGTTGGAAAGGCTAAAATTTAAGTAGGAACTACCAACACTGAGGTTGAAAAAGTTTAAAGTTGAAAAAGCCAAGATTGAAGTTGGACCTACCAAGATTTAAGTTGAAATTACCAACTTAAAAATATGGATCTAACATGGCACTAATACATTTCCGTAATTTACAGATGCATGTATCTGCATTATAAAATTCAGCCCACTAAGATATTTCAATTCGGATGTAAATAAAACAGATTTTTAAGTAATCTTGAAATACAATCATTAGTGAAGATAATGAAAGTTATAAAAGATATTGTTACAGTTATTTTCTCGTCCATAACAAAACAAAAACAATAAAATGATAATCCTTCATTTGCTGATTGTAATCTACCCATTTTCTAGCGAAAAAAAATTTTACTTCAGGAAATACTCTAAACTTCTAAATTCTTTAAAATCTGTTCAATGCTTTCTGAGATATCTCGTTAAAAGATGTCACATTTAAATCAAGGTACTAAAAGTACTCTCGGGAGTTGACGCTCATACCTTTCAGTGAACAACGACATAGTTTCGTCCCGTGGAAGACACGAGTTTTTTACCCCCAAATCCCGCGCACTAAGCAGTCAGACATTATTTTGATAGTAGAAAAAAGATTAATCTGATTTCTTTCAACAGATCTGTCTAAAAATAATCATAATAAAAATTGTATTTATCCAAATATTAAATGAGACAAATACCAAAGAAATTTGTCAAGATACTTGTTTCTGACAGTTATTTCAAATGGAATCATAAATTTTGGGACACCCTGTAGTTTTCATCTCTCAAGACAAACCTTTCTAATATTAATAATACCTTTCCTAATATTTCATTTGAAATATTTACATCTCTTTGAGACATGTGGCACATATTAGCAAAGAAGCACCTGTCTTAAATAAAAAAACCCACACCTTCTGTACACAGACATTTCAAAAGAAATATTCAATACCTCTAATCATTTACATATTCCATGCATAGTATTATGTTTAAAAGAGGTCAATTTCTCTTAATAATTGTTATTTGTTCTGACTTATTTCCCCAGCAAATAACAAATTTCTTTTTATTACAATCTTGTAAGTAGCAATAGAGATCACACAAAAGATGATCTTTAAATGTATTTTAGAACTTCCTGCAACACAGTGTTTAGATAGTGGTTTTATTTTCATTCACAGAAACAATAAATTAGAAAAATAATTATAACAAGAGACCCATAGGCACCTAAGTACCTATGGCCTCCTGTTCTTTATAATAGATTTTCCCCAATTACATTCCTATGTTAAATTGTAATAAAATATTGTGGACCCACCCTACCCCTGGGTTTATGATGTGAACAAAATAGAATCTACACCACCCGAAGATAGTTTCAGAATAGATATGATTAATCATGGGTTTTCTGTTCTTGAAAAAAATTCAAAAAAAATTCTTTATATTCTATTTAAAACTTTGATGACAGTCATATTTTGGCCCTTCTCTACCTCCAGAGATCATGATTTGATCAAGTTTAAATCTACACTACCTGAAAATACATCCGTATTAATATGGCTAACCATGGTTTGCTTTCCTTCAGAAGATTTCCTATATAACTATATGTATTCCTATGTAAAATTTTGATCCCCTGTTTTGGCCCCATCCTACCACCTTGAGGTTAATATATGAACTTGAATCTGATTTATCTGAGGATGCTTCTGTATTCTAATCATGGCTTTTCTGTTCTTGAGAATAAGATTATTAAAGATGTATTGAAGATATTTATATTAGATTAGATAAAGACATTACAGAGTCTGCCCCATCTGTTTCATATTAAGATGTTTTTTTTTCTGACTATAGGCGATATAATGGCAAAAAAAAAACAAAAAAAAAAAACAGCAACAACAAACAAACAAACAACCACAAAAAACAACCAAATTGTATTATCAACGAGAGAACTTCAGCTTTTTCATCGTCAATATTCCTTATTTATGTATTAATTTTCGGATATCACCTGCATGTGTTGTTTACGTCTCCCAACCTATTCGATACCCCAAAAAATTCTCTGAGTGCAATCAATTTTCAAACCAAGGCAAGCTACTAACAGATGAGTTGGTGTTTACGGAAAAGTTGTTAAGAGAGAGAGATTTTGAAGGAATATTAGATACAAAACCAATAATATGCATGATAACCTCCTAGTTCCCTGTAAAGGTAATTATATCACACAGACTACAGAGCTCTCAAAGTATTTATGGAATATTATCTTTTTAAGGAAGCCAATTTAAAAATTGTGAAATAAAGTGGCACCATTTAATCTTTTTTCTCAAGAACCACTTGGCAAGAAAAGGTTAACTGATATTAGTTTATATTCAAACATGTTCTAATCATGATCCGTGGGCGTAGGGTTTGTACATAATAGG